TACAGCTGTACGCAAGTTGACAACACAGCAACGAATGGTGAATGTGAATTTCATCGAACAGCTTTGTTGTAGATATCCACTCTTCCAGATGAGATTTAGGCTTCTTTTCAGGCTTGTGCTCCATTTCTTGCGTATTCTTTAAATTTATAATCTTTTTTCCAATCTGCTCCTTGATTTCGTCGCGAGAAACCTCGGGTATGATGAATGTGGATAGCATCAAACAGGTCTGTTTCAGAAATCATGACTTCGAGGTCAGATTGGGGTTTTGGTTCTTTGCATGTTTTCTCAAGTGTCTTCAAAGCTGAAATCTTTTTATTGAGCTCATCCTTGATTTCGTCGCAAGAAAACTTGAATAATTCATCGCCAAGAAGAGACTCGTCAAGTTTATTAAATAAATACCAGTAAACTCGATATTTGAATAAATGGAATGGCCGAAACAAGCGAAGAAAACGGTTCCGAACAGGAGAGTGAGCAGAGCGACTTGTTCTCGTCGGAGGATGAAATACATGCTGAATTTGAGAGAGCAATTACTTGGCTCCTTCGAGCTCTAAGTTGGTGTAAGTGTGGACATTGTACTTTGTCGAAAAAGGCAATCGAGTGTTTTTTGTTGCCACGAAAAAGCGCTTGAATACGATGAGTACGAGGCTTTGCTAGGCCAAATAAAAACTCAAGGAGAGTATTGCTTGACAACACACCAAGAATTTAGGGACAATATTCTGTCAGAAAGTTTGTTAAAGATAGACGTGTGTCGGTATCTTGAAGAAAATTGGCCCCTGTCTGATGAGGACCTGGAGAGAATATACGAGCTGTATCGATTAGTCGCATATCAAAGATGTTCTAGGTGGATTTTTCAAATTTGGGGGAATAAACATCGAAGACCATTTCCTGCTTGTATTGATGCTAGCATACGAAAACGCTTCGCGTCACCAGACGGACTTTATACACATTTTTAATACGCCAAAATATCTAAACAGTAATATTTTATTTTATTTTTTAATAAATTTATGTTTGAACTCTACTCTCGATTGATACACTTCGCCTCTCTACATTTGCATTTATTTTGACATAACAATCCCAATGCACTGCAATCACACGTTGAGGTGGCACATTTTCCTTTACATTTACAAATATTTGTGTGAGGTCTGCTCCCTTGTGAACTTTCGGGTAGAGCTGGTGTACTATATCTTGCTTTTTGTTGGCTTCAATTTGCTCATTTGAGGGTCTTTCCTTTCCTGCCAAATACTGTTCGACAAGGGATTGTGGTTCAGGAGGTAGCATCATATCTGCATGTGCTTTGGCCTTCTTCAAAGTCGAGTACTGGCTTCTTAGTTTTACAACTTCATTCAATATTAACTGCACATATCCTAAATGGGATTATTATATATTATTTTTAGAGAAACTATGACTAAAATGTTTTAGCCTTTTGATTATATTACTATTTTTTATATCATGAAATTTTCTTGCTTTATTTGTTATTGAATGATATCATTCCTACCATAGGTGGGTTTTTCCTTCTAAGGTTTTGCCACAGCTTTTTCTTTTTTGAAAGATTTTGGATAGGTAATTGCCCATCTCAAGTTTCCATCTGCAGTTTTTGCTTGTGGTCTGTTGCTGTTCTCATTGTGGTGCAAGTTTGAACAGTACAGTCTATCTTGATACAGAAGTTGAAAAATCCCAATTTTTGATAACTTTCTTCAATATTGAAATGTCCATATTTTATCCTCTTTAAGATATTTTAATTGCATTGCAAATTTTAAGTTGATTTTTGAATAACATACCTTGCACTCAATGAGTGATATGAATGATGAGTATTCTTTGAGGCAAGCATATTATCCAAAGCATGTTTGGCTTCTAAGCCTGATGTCTGGTGATACTTGGATAACTTTTGAATTTCTGCAATTAGTCAAGGCCTTGTCAACATCTCCTCTAATTTTTTGTTAGCAGCTGACCCTGTTGTATAGATGAGTAAAAAAAATTTTGAGGCATGAATTAAACTTCTAAATTGTAGTCCATTCTATCTACTCAACCTTTTTTGAGCCAAGCTCTACAATTGTTTCATGAAGGCATTTTGTAAATAGCTTGTGACCATTATGCTCATGAATATTAGCAATGTGATTGAGAATACTGCGCCACCTTTCTTCCCTCTCATCTGGAGTTTCACTTGAGTTGCCAACCCAATATAAATGGTTGATAATTGACTGTTCAGTTAAAGAAAAAATGTATATATATATATATACAATATGTATCACAATGTGCCCTCCAGGCCATCGTCAAAGTGCAATGACAATCCTGCAGGAACACATACATGCTATACATTTACATGCATGACATGCATACCCCAATCCATGGCTGAATATGTTTGAACTTCTCCTTCTTTGCCACTTTCACCAGTTTCTTTTTCCCCCTAAAGTATATTCAAGAGTGTTGGAAAAACTTACTTAATAACAGACTTACTTTTCAATATCATAGAAGTTTATATATTTTCGTGGCAGAGATTTTAAATTAAAAATAAGCATACATAAATATATATACCTTTTGCTCACGCTGTGGTAATGGGATATTTAAATTCCCTTGCTCAAACATAGATACCAAACTGAAATATGATTCCTTGTGCTTCACATCTCAAGATGTTTGCAAATGCTCGTACCACACACTGCAAAGCGCTGAAGGAAACTTAATAACTCTTACTTTGTATTCCTGCACCAGCAATTAATAGTCAGTGCAATAAAAAATGATCGGACGGTGACTATTTTGCAAAGGCTGGACTCAAACAGGGAAGTAATGAGAAGCCTTAATTCCAAATTACAGTGTTGATTACATGATTCTCCCAAATCGCAGTTAAATGAATTAATGCATTGTTAAGCCGTTGTCATTTCAATTCAGACTCTTCAAGCAACATCGTTGTGAATGTTTGACGTCAGTCACGTTACCCGTTATTCCCTTGTTTATATTCAATAGTGCAGTTGAAACAATAGCAAACTCATTACTAACATCGTGTAAAGACTTTAAAAACAATAAAAAAGAACAGAAATAGACAGAAAATATACAAAAGATGTACAATAAAAGACAATAGACCCTTTATTTGGAAAAAGTGGTAGGTAGGTTTTGTTAACCAGTTAAAAAATTTTCTGATATTTGTTGGTGCTGTTGTTCTTAAATATGGACAGAAAATGAATACAAAAAATACACAAAAACAGAAAAAAAGTTGGCATAATGTTAGGAAGAAATGTAGCAAGGTTTACATTTTGCCTAACTTTTTACACCCGCTATGCGAATATTTTTATGTTCACTGATCGCGAGAACAACAGATTTCCAAAGAAATGAATAATGGTAATCTTTTCAGAATTTCGTTTTAGTCTTGCTAAAATATTTGGCTTTTTAACACTATAGTGTAGAAAAAAAATCACAAAAGAATGTACAAAAATAAGACAGATATGAAAAACAAGTAAAGAAGAACAAGACGACAAATACACAGAAATTTAAGTAGTTCGATAATTGTTTCTTATGTTTAGTGGCAAATTTGTCAATACAGTAAATACATTTGTCGATTCTATACTCTCCTGATGTTGCTAAGGAAAACTAAAAAAAATGAAATTTGAATTTGACTAAATGCAAAAAGTAGCTAACTGCTAAAAAAGGATCCATATATATGGAATATAAATCAAACACGAAAGAAAATGCAAAATCAGATGTTGAGAGAGACGTTTTCGCAAGTGATTGTATGTTGTGGTAATTTGCTGGTATCTCATCAGTTATTTCTCTGTGTAATGTAAATTTTAAAATTTAATAGAAGAACCTGTTGTGTTATGATGATGTAAATACAAACAAGAAAAAAGGAAGTAAATTTAGAGATTTATTTGACTAGACAAGTAAAATGGATCCATACTAACATGGAGAAGCTAGAATGACGAGCTTGAAAGTGAAGCATGGAAGCAAAACCAGTATGAAAACGGTTTGTATAAATATGAATTTTAAATAAAGCGCAATACCAAACACTTTGAGAAGTTCTCACTCTTTCTACGCATTCATTAAAAATACATCTTCATTGTTTTTGAATGAACATTTTCTTAATTATTAATGTTATAATTAATTTTGATTCACAAAAATTTCTACACAAAATATGGCCAAGCTATTCCACTAAGAAAACCTCCTTGATTACACCAAAAACATTCGCTAATCCTAGCTGGAGTCCACGTGCAATAGCAAAAATGATCATTGATAAAACATTCTTTTGCAAGCCACATATAAGAAGAGTAATCATACTGTTCATAAATGTTGTAAACAGTTTATCTTACGCACAAGATCATATTTAAATGAAAATTAGAGAAAAGCCATAGCTACTTAATGTTAGTGCATGGCTCGAGCACACATTATTGCAAATGGACTGTGAAGATCCTAGCAAGAATCAAGCTCAGCTTTTCCATTTCAACTCGATCAAAGATCACACATTAAACTATACATAACCTGTATTAAATTAATAATTTTCCAGTAATTAGCCTCATGATGAACAAAGAAGTGGCACAATGTTATATTAACAAATATATCAACTTTTATCTTAAATATAATACATACTGCACAAAATCGGTCATTGGGGCATGGTCCTTTATAAGTAATATACCGTAATCACAATTGATTTTAATGCAAACTAAGAAAGTAGAACATGCATATATGAATATAGCCCCTACTGCAATTATTAACATTGCGCAGTCCATAATTATACTCTTCATTCCTACCATTAAAATCTTTCTCTCTTTCTGAAACAGAATTTTTTCTTAAAGATTTGAAAACGCAAACCTCATAGTTCCATACTTTTTCGATAAAAAAACTGGCCCATATTCCAAATTTATGATAAATAATTTCTTTGCTGTAACAAGTCAAGAACTCGGCCAAGAACTCGTAAAACTGATGAGTGAAGAGATTGCTGTTTTTAAACGCACAAATAAAGGAAGAATTCACAACTTTTACTGTCCATAAAAGTAATAAACAATTGTTGCAACTTCTCAAAAAATGAAAGGGTCTTGAATGATTTTTCCAAAAAAAATACAGCGCTATTGATTATTTACACAAAACATGGTCATGCATTGCCTCTTATTTAGTGAAAAATACAAAGTAAGAAAACAACAAAACTATTTGAGATGATTATATATAACGAGTGAAATACACACAACTTGGAGGAACAAAAGTACCTTGAACAAAAATGGCGACAACTGAAAAAATATAGCTTTGAAGCTTTAACTTGTTCAATTCTTTTCATTCTTCTTTGCTATGACTTTATTTTTTATGAACCAGTTTTCCTTCTTAGATACACTTAAACACGTGGTTACTTAAGATAAAAAATTGAAATTATCAATTATTAGAAAGTTTAGTTTTGTAGCTAAATGTTGAAAACAACAGACAGTAATAAAAAGTTATATAAAGTTATTTAAATAAATTCGCTTTTTCCAAATTAGTTCCTTTAAATGATTACCCTTTTCAATTTAGACACATCATTTTAGATTGAATAATGCACCAACCTTGCACGAGTCTATAGTACTGCTTTTCTTGTTATCTATGTATTTGAGAATATTCTGTGAGATTTCCTGTGATTCATATTCATCATCTAATTTCTCCGCAATCCAACGGCCCACGTCAAGTTCATCACAAAGACCAACTCTACGTAGCATTGCTTTCCCCTCGTCAGTATTAAGTTTGGAATCATTGTCAAGAGCAAACACAGCCAGTTTAAAGTCGCGTTGATGACCGCTTTCTGGCAATCCAATTTTAGTCTTGATGCACTGAATAAAAACAGACAGTGGTAGTTTAAGGGGTCGAACTGTGGTCATTTGTGTGATAAATAGTCACTACAAATTAAGGTGTTGTGAGAAATTCACGATTGTAGCTTTCATTGTATTCTGCGTACTTATGTTCTCTTAATCAAAGTGAAGGTAAAAACCGTGAAAATAAAACTTCAATTATTTTGGTTGAAGATTTCAAATTTCGGTCGAACAGTGCTAAGGTAGAATTCTGCCTTAGGTCCAGTGTGTATTTTTCTTGAGTGCATTACATTAAGACATTTTGTAAAAAGTAAGGTGGTTGTGATCAAAAATTACTGTAGATCTTTCATAAATATATCTTATGCAAACCATACTTCCAATTGACTCTCCACTCTGGCTTTTATTGTCTCCATGCCACAATCACCTCCTTCCCCATTAATTCAGCAAAGAGTCTATCAGCTAATGTTAGACAAATAAGAACGGGAACATTTTCCTTCTCAAGTATGGAAAGCCATTTTTTCGTTGATTCTGTATGGACTTTCCTAAAACGGCGAGATTTTCATATACTGACATAGAATGCTCACAAGCTCTTACTGCCTTCAGTAATTCAGATAAAATTTTTTTACAAAATGTCGATTTCAAGAGTAGGTAAGTTGAAAAAAGGTGTACATAATATCATTCGTCCCCAGGAGGCTTTTTATCAGCTTATTAATTCTATGAATCAAACATGTGTTGAGAAGACATCTTATATGACGGGAATCAAAACAATTTACGGAAATATTTTTGGTTGAAAAAAGTATTTCAAGAAAAGCTTCGTCACCAGTAATCGACAACAAATACGACAATCCGAGTCAAACAAAACAGCAATTCAGCAATTTTCGGAATTGACTCATCACGATCATCAACACCAGGAAAATCAATGACATCCAAACCTTTGATGTGTTCATCTAAGTTATAAATCAAAGGAATTTGATTTATAATCATTTGTAATCATGAATTTGATGTACGTCTTTCATCAGTTGTTCCACTCGCTGTCTAACGTAGAAAGATCAATTTTCATGGATGTTCTCAAAACAAATGTTTCAAAAGATCAATATTATGGGGGTATTTTCATGAAGCATATTTTATTTCAGAAAAAGTAACAGAAGTTCTTACCTGTACTTCAAACATGGAGCTGACAAACTTTGATTTCCCAGAATTAACCAGTCCCACAACACCGACTGCGCACTGCTTGGCTAAACTCTCTCTAAGGTAATTGATCATCAATGACCATCTGATCCATCGGGCAATCAGTGGACGGTACTCATATGGCACTAGCGTCAAAGTTTCTTCCTCAAAGTTAGCATTCCATTGTTGAAGAATATTTTCAATTGGAGTGTTGTGAAAAATGTTCCTCTTCTTGCATTGGCGCTCAAGTTGGCGTTCGAGAGAATAACTGATGTAACTCTTGTTGCATGTAACTCCTTTCTTCATGCTACCCACAAGAAAGTTTAACTTTTCGTCGTAGTCAGGAAACTCGAGTTCCTCGGAAGGAAATATGTACTCCCGAAAATCGTTAATGCGACGAGAGAATTCAATGACAATTTTTCCAAACCTTCCAGATGATCTTACCATTTGCTGCAAATAGTTAAACGGCACAATCAACAATGCCCACACAGACAAACCCCTTGAGTCGGCATCGTGTCTGGCAAATTCATCAACGTACTTGTCGTTACCACCTTGCTCGAGAGGGATGTGAACTTGGGATTGCATGAATTCACCAAGTAGAGCATTGCAAGTCTCAAACTCAATAAGCAAGTCATCTAAAACGTTCAGCATCTCGTTATTCGCGTTACAAAAAGAGCTCTCCACATTTAGTTTTTCACTCAGTTGTTGGAGTCTTTCTTTACCATCGACTAGCAATGTGATTGGAGCTTTACTACAACGAATCTTCGTCTTGCTTTCGCCAAACTTATCCGAAGATGGATAAATCACCTGTAGGTCTGTCTCACATGCAGGAAAAGTTGTTCTTTTTGCACTTCCTCCGAATCTTGGTCGAGGAACGTCTTCATGAAGAAGAGAAACAAGAAGTGCATTAGTCTTATTCAGTAAGTACTTAATATCACCCCATCGCAACATAGGATTGGGTCGTAGTTCCGTATTTCTTGAGCAAAAAAAATTAATCTGTTCCGTTTCCATGTGGGCGATTTGCATGAAGTCGGTGTTTTATAAAATCGATTAACGAAAAAATTGTATTTCTCTTCAAAAGATACATCGGAAGGCAATGCTTTCATACATGAAAGTCCATGACGTATGCGAAAAAAGGCAATTTTAGTGGTTTCATTAAAACCAGAGACAGCCAATGTCTTTAGATCGATATTGCCTGCGGAAACTATTTCACAGCAGTCTAACATAACGTTTAAGCTGCTTTCTCCCATAGCATAAAAAAGACTTTCAATTGGCACCACTGATACAGCGTTCTTAAAAAAGTCCTGGATGGATTTCATTCTGACAGATCTATCAGCGTCATGACGTTTTTCCAACAGAGCACTGAGATACGCCAATTCAATTATCTCGCTGGGACGATGCTTTGCAAGTTGCTGTTGCCTTTTTGTGACTGTGTACGTCTAAAAAGCAATTATGAATTGAAATATAAAGTTAAAAATTGGTTTTTAGGAAATCAACATAACCTTTTTTTACTAACCGTGGTTTTTGCTTTAACCTGGAATGCAGGGAGATGTTTGCTGCATTGAAAATGCGTTCTCAAACGAACGTTAACTTGATCTTCGTGGCAAATGCTCTTTACTTTGATTGTTGTCTGAATTTCTGATCCAGAAGATTTCATAACGTCTACAGGTAGATTCCTACCAGGAAATTCGACATTCTCGATGGATAACTGATACACGAACCACATCTCATTCCCAAATACTTTGATGATGACCTCCTCACCGATATTTTCGAAACGAACGCCAGTTACTTCGGGGACAATTTTATTTGATGCTGTGGCCCATTTCGTATTTTCTTTGAATGGCTTGAGATCAGGAAGACTTTGAAGCAAAGCCAGCTCAACCTCGTGGATATATCTCTCAAAACTATGCTGAGAATACAAATGTGATACAAATATTAAAATAACAACATAATGACAATTCCCATTCCATGTGGGCACTGCTTGAGTCGTATCATTCGGATATGTATAAAATACACTCAAGGGCGTATCTAGAACGTTAATTGGGGGGGGGGTATATTCATCTACTCAGTTTTGCCATACTGATTTCTTTTGAAATTCAATTCACTTTCAAAATAAATCAGTAGGGCACAACGGAATATATGAATTTGCACCCCAATTAACGTTCTAGTTTCGCCTCTGAAGACACTTACATTAACGACGTATTGCCGACCTAATTCAGCCAATGAGTGACCAATTATTTTTAGTTGATTGACAGCTTTAGATGCAGGCAAAATTTTATATTTTACATCCTTTAAAGAATTGTCAATAATGCAATATGATCCAAAGATGTCCAAACGGCGGAATGTGATGAAGCTGTTCACCATCGGATTGGAGTCTTCAAAAAAATCAAGAATCATTTTACCTAAATCCATCCAAATTGCCTAGGAAAAGTAGAAACATTGTGGGTGAAAAGAAAGTATTACAGTCGACATTCCCGAGCCCATCCTTGCACCTTATATGATAGACAGCTAGGTCATAAGAAGAAATTATACATAGATATGGGGACGTAACAAGCGGGGATAGAAGTGGGTGAGGTAGTGGCATGACAACTCCAATTTATGAAAAACGGTCCGTAAAAAATTTTATAAGATTGATGGTCGTCAACGTTTTGAACAAAAGCAAAAAACACTTGTTTAATTCATGCAAGAACGAAAAGAGAAAATAGAAGTTGGACCAGCAATGTTGTACGGTATAGGGACATCAAGCAAGACAAAAGACCAAAATTTGGGTTAAAGAGATAAAGATGCCAAGACTCTTTGACGGGGAAAAAGAAGACACAAGTAATTAAACTCGATTTTTACCAAAAAACTGAGAATTCATTTTAAGCATAATATCTCGAGACGTATAACGAGACAATTGGGAAAAACAAAAAAAGGGTGGTAGGGAGTGGGGGGTTTTATTCATCTGTGTGTGACATGCTGCATTAAGTTCCTTGTAATCCCATACAAAAAAATTCAATGGCTGCGCGAAAACATGGTGACGATAAAAATATTTTATATACCTTTATGCTTTGTTGAATGATTTTCAACGGTTTCTCTGTTATTTTCTTTACTAAATTCCACAGCTCGTTCTAAATGAGATTTATTCAGCAACAAGAATATACCAATTATTTGATAACTGTAAAATATACTTGTATTGCCAATAGTTCGACAAAAAGAAGAGGCGTTTTATTTTTTTACATAATTATTTTTACAATCAAGTCGGTCCTGAGAAACAGTAAACGAAATCTTAAACCGCTAGAGAATGCCAACATAATACTTGTAGTTTACCTCCAAATATGAACCGTTTAATGCCCCGAATAGCTTTGGAATAAAATCACCCTTTTGAACGATATGATAAAAGCATTCCTTTGCTCCAGGTATTGACTCGACATAATCCTTGAATGTACTGTCCGCCAATGGCATAAGACCAAACGTAATACATTTGAGGTGATCTTTCAAATACGATTCACCTTGCTCTTTGAATTTTTCCAGCAAAAAGATCAGAACTAAAGATGCGATGGCTCCACCACTTGAGTGCCCTTAATGAGGAATAAGCAAATCACGTGTAATGCATTTTCGCTATATTGGACGTTCAGTGCGAGTCAGCCCGCAAAATTTAGTCTTGCTAAGCAAATTTAAGATCATTAAGACCATTGTGCCTGCACAGTGCACAGAGCAGGCCTAATAAGCAGGCCGGTTACGCCATTGGTAAAACAGTATTTTATTCTACATGAATGTGTATGTTATATTAATTTTTCCACGATGCTCTAAATAGTTTTTCCATTTTTTTTGTTACGACAAGGAAGCAATTTAAAACATACAGGTATCTGCGAAATGCAGAAATATGCAACGCCTACGCATGTGTTGCGAATAATTCAAGGTAAAACACAAATAAAAGCCCTTTCTCAAGACTGGATCTATGCTCCGAAGCCCAAATTAATGGTCTTTATTTGTATGTATACATTTCGCACATTTACCTGAAAAAATAATTCGTTTCTGTTGCATGAATGCTCTTGCGAAATACTTCAGAGGGATTTTTTCAGATTCCTTTTTCACATCTTCAAAAAGATAAATATAATATGAGTACATGAAATGCCGTTCACGTAAAAAAAAAACGAAACATTTCATCTTTGCTTCAAAATCATTTGTAAAATATTCGTGTAAAGTTACTTCTTATTTATGCGCCTGCACAAAAGAGTCTTATTCGTCATCTGTTGCTGCACCGATAGAAAACATAATGTCTCGACGGTTTTTTTACCGTTAGCAATGATACAGTTAAACTTCAATCACCCTGAATTACATGAATAAATTCCTCCTCGATGGGTATTTTGAATTCTGGGGATTGTATACGACGACAATCCTTTGAAGCTGACGTAGATAACATCACCACACTCCGCTATCACATATTTAGGAACGTCCTCGTTTTCATAAGAAACATAAACATTGCTAAGTAAATGTTCCTTGTCCAATTCTTCAAGGTCGTGCATTCTATATTCGGGGTCTTTGCAATTGTACGCGAGATGAACACAAAGTAAAGAATGGTGAATGTGGATAGGATCGAAAAGAGCTGTTCTAGCTATCATGGTTTCGAGATCAGATATAGATTTTGCTTCTTCTTCATTCTTAACTACAAGGGTCTTTTTCAAACTCAGTATATTTTTTTCGATCTGTTTCTTGATTTCGACAAGGGAAGACTTAAACATTTCTTCACCGAAAAGGGACTTGTCCAGCTCAATGTATACATACTCCAGAAACTTGTCGCAGGTGCTTCCATTGATGTGCTTTGCAGCTTCCGTATGCCTCAAAGCGAGGGAATCCTTTAAGGTTTGTTGAAGCGCCATTGAAAGCGATTTGACTTTTTGGTTGAGCTCAATTTCGTTGTTCCAAATGAGCCCAAATTCATTTTCTTTTATCTTTGTCAAAGGCGCGACAAGAGGTTGTATCGCTTTGTTAAATATGTCCTCAAAGATCTTCAGCGCGGTTGGATCAATATCAAGAGGAAGGCAAGCATTCAAATCTTTCTCTTCGCAGAGATCACTTTCATCCATTGTGAAACGATTTGAGGAAACTTTTCAAAACGTGCAAAGTCAGAGAAAGCGTTTTCTAGCCGACAAACTTTTTGCTGTAAGGCAGTAGCTTTTTAGTTAATTCCAACCATGAACACAAAATTTAACTTTCTGCTTAGCTGGGTACTTTTAATTATTCGAGAAAAGAAAGTTTGATAGGTTTCATGCGTAACGACAATGTGAAGGCGTGCTGTGAAGGAATTCGTCTCCTATTTTCAGTATTAAGATCAAATTTTTCCATTTTGCAGTTTTCACAATTTTCCAAAACAACTCAAATAATAGTCCGTTGCCTGTGGCCTCAAAACATTTACTTTCGTAGTCACCATCACGGTGTTAAATTTTATGAACGATAGTCTATAGTTTTCGACATGCTGAATTCGAATTTCTTTGTTCCTACTCACCAAAACCTGCAGTTTTTTAGAATTTTGACGATGAAGATCGCTCCCGTTTTGCTGTTTAGGCGACCTTTTTACATGAAAATAATTAGTATTCATTTTCTTTTAATGGTACGCTCTGACACAACCACACAACCAGTTTGTTTTATGGACATAGTAAAGTGTTCAGTTGTAAGCTTCTGTCAGAAGATGCCCAAGCTGTCATAGCTCTTCGAGAACTTGGAGAATATTTTGTAAGCACTAAAGAACTTCACATAAGTGTGGAGGAGGTAAAATGTAAGATTTTCCACTCAATGTCTGGCATTGACATTAACATGGCTAGGTACAACTTGCCTCCTAATGAAGATTTTCTGGAGAAACACATCAAACGTGTCAATTACCAAGCAGCAATATGGAAATCGTCACTGTGCCCCGCCAAATACGTCCAACCATGGATGGAAAATTGACAAAAATAAGTCTATCTCCATTGATTGGATAAATGGCAGTTGTGCACCAATCGATGAGCTAAATATTTACAATTGTACGTAAATGCACTGCTGGTTGCTTAAAAAAATAGATGTTCGTGTAAGAAAGCATCCATTTTTTGCACTGAACTCTGTTAATGCCTTTCGTGCTTTAATACAACAGAAGAATAGGAAACAGAAGTGTATGGAGTGCTTTTTATGCAAAAATTACAGACGAAGAATTCTCAAGTGACAATAAAGTAAATGAACAGTGAAAATTAACAAGTACCATCACGATTTCACATCTTTCTCGATTGAACCTTGTCTTCGTATTATAACACCTCTTTATTAAATAATTCGTAAATTGATTTGGCCTTGTAGCAAGCTTCAATATTCTGTCAACTTGTATAATCTTTCTTACAAGAAAATTGTGTTTCGCTTTGTTTACCTCTCTAAATACTGTGAGCCCACGATTCGGCTCAAAATAAGAGCGGTATTGCTATACTTTATGTAAAAAGGTCGCCTAAACAACAAAACGGGAGCGATCTTCATTGTCAAAATTCTAGCACCGCGATGGTGGCTACGAAACTTTATTTCTAAGGACATTTTGAGGCCACAAGCAACGGACTATAAAACCGAATAAGTAAATAAGAGAAACCATAAAAATATACCACACAAATCCATCAAAATTGAAGATGATGAAAAGTATTAACAAAATTTTTATTCGCTCGACTATAAACAACTTTCCTGACTTCCCAATGAACTATTTAGTTCTTAGTTCAATGACAACTAATGAAACGCACAATGCAAACAAACGAATACCTATTCCACTGTTAACTCAACTGCATGGACGAGCCGGGAAGTTATGAAATAAGAAACAAAAAAATTACTTATTGAATTCGCTTACGGATAGTTTCTTGGCAAATTGCAAAGCCATCGATAAATGAAATCAAAAACGATTGTTTTTGTTTTCTTTAATTTTAATGCTGTTTACCATTCGCGGTAAAACTTGGATGCATTTTGTCACTGATGAGAAAAATGATATAAGCAATCAGAATGCAGATACGACGTTTTTCACTAGTGAAGAAAATGATATATCCAATCAGGTCCTCGGAAATTTTAGGCATATCATTTTTATTTTACCGCTTTGTTGCTCATAAATTTCAATACTCGTATGATAAGACACAATATCACACAAAACATCTTTCGATTATACTATAAATACCAAAATTGGCAAGTTCATAAAAAATAGCTGTAGTATGCATACATAGCAGGTCTTGTTCACTAAACGTGTCTTTACTAAATTAACTTTACTGGTCATTACAAACTGCTTTCGTTAGCTACGATCTGACATTTAACATTGTTCACGTGTGGTTAAAAAAAAAGAGTTGACTTTTTTCGTTTGAGCTTAAGCGAGATTTATCATGATATAACTAGGAACAATTCATATATGTGGACAAGTATTAAAAAAAATAAAAGAACAAAAAACTACAAAAAATGGCAATTTTACAATCAAGCATTATACAAACAATACGCCTACTAAACTTCATTTCTGGGTTTCTTCACAATTTCTTCTTTTTGCTCTTCTCTTGTGCGCTGGAATGAAAATAGGCCATATCTTAACAAAATAAACTCAAACATGAAGAATGGAATTTAAAGAAAAATATACATTCTTCGGTGGATTCTTCATAAAAAAATAACAAGCAAACATAAAAATGCAAAAGAAAACAATAAATGATAGTAAAAATTGATCTCTCCAAGCTTGTGAAAAAGACCTATTGAATAAATTGGTATAAACGCATTGGCCTTTTATGGCAGCATGCTGCTACAGCAAAGTTAGCAGACCACAGCCTTTTCATTATCTACCAACACGGCAACACTGCATGTGTCCGTTAAGGTGAAGTAAACACGATGAGTTTATCCTGGTGCTGTGCATTAAGCTACATGTTGTTGTTTATATATATGTACAACTCCAATGTGTTACACAAAGAAAGATATTCCAAATAACATTTAAAATTACTTTGCATGAATGCGACTTTAACGTGCTGCTTTTCTTTTTCTGTAAGTATTTGAGGAGATTTTGTGAGAGATCTTGTGATTCGTATTGATTTTCTAATTTCGCTGCAATCCAATGACCCACGTATAATTCATCACTAAGACCAACTTCACGTAACTTTTCTTTCGCCTCGTCAGAATTGAGTTTGGAATCGTTGTCAAAAGCAAACACAGCTAGTGTAAAGTCACGCTGATGACTTTTTTCTGACGACCCAATTATGCTTTTGATACTCTAAATATGATATCAATTTTCACTTCCTTGCGTCAAGAAAGGCAAGAGATCATTTTCCTACCTCCAGTTCACGATGCATTTCAGCTCTTATTGTGGTTATATTATTATCACAATTGTCTCCCCATAGTTCGGCAAAAAGTTTGTCAGCAAATGTAAGGCAAACAAGAACAGGAACGTTTTCTTCCTCAAGTATAGAAAGCCATTGTTTTGTTGATTCTGTATGAGCCTTTCTAAAAATGTTATTGAAAAGTTAATAACATTGCGTAAGTACCATGAGAAGAGAGTTTTTAACCAAACACAGCTCTTTCACAGCATCAAAACAATGATACCTGTAATCGACCACGAACACAACAATCCGAGTTAAACTTAACAACAATTTTGCCATTTCGGGAGTTGACTCATCACGATCATCCACACCAGGAAAATCAACGACGTCCAAACCTTTGATATGTTCATGCAAGTTGTAAATTAACGGAACGGTGGTACGTTTTCGATCGGTTGTCCCAATCACCGTCTGTACAACATCAATAAGAAATGTATTTGAGCCCATAAACAATGGAACTTTGCTGACTTATAAGCACTGCATTACATATACCAGTAATAATATACTTCTAAATAATATACAATTGGTTGCGTTGCCAGCCCGCTTATTTAGTACTGCATGCGTTTTTTTTCTGTCCACAGAAATTGACAAAAAAAACACACAGCAGTAGAATTAGCATAGTGATCGGGCATTGAAATTTTACAATAGGTTAATTTCCTGAAGGTTTTAATTTTTTTCTGTATATTATATGCTTTAAACCAGGGTCTCCAAACTTTACAGCCAGAGGGCCACATGAACTTTCATCTAGCATGTTGAGGGCCGAAGAATATAAAAAATTTCCACGTTATCCTTCAGCTTTTTAAATTTCACAATGTGCTTGAAACGGAAGTTGGGAGAAAAATTGACGTAAGCCACTCTTGCTAGTTGGCTTGCGACATAACGTGAACTTTCTGCACAAAGTTTATTTGGTTTAATAATATTTTTTCTTAAGTGGCTCTGCGGGCCGGATTGAGAGGCCCAACGGGCCGCATCTGGCCCGCGGGCCGTAGTTTGGAGACCCCTGCTTTAAACCATAGAGAATGCTCATGTTCAATCAAAGGCATTTTTTAATGCGGAGAGCAGTGAGCCAAAGGTTGACTTGCTAATAATGTAGAAGTAGAAGTGGCGTAGGAACAGATTTAAATTAGGGTGCTGAAATCGATGATTAGTTGACAAAACCTTTATTCATTTAAGCTTTAGGGGGCTATGCAGCTTTCAAATATTCCAGAGCCTTGTACAAACACAGCACTTGGAGCAAGTTGTGAAGTCTTTATTATTTAGTTGTACTTCATAACGATACACATCGGTACAAGCAATGCAACAATCAAGTATGTCACAATCAACATTTTACACAAAACAAAATTTAACTGATAACCGGAACGATTGGGTTCATTGTCAGCATCGTATTATTGCCAGCATCGTATTCTAGTACAATGTCAGTAGTTAGTAGATTTTGGAATGTTAACCTTCATTTTCAGGGTGGGCTAAGCCCCCTCCAATGACCAACTTTAAGAGGGTTCTCCCCCCTCTATTTCCTTCACCTATGGTCGATTGATGGTTTGACAAAAAAAAACATTTTTTCTGTCCATCTTATTAATAAATTATTCTACTTGCATCAAGAAATTTAAGAAATTTTAAGGCAGAGCTTAAGACGCTGGAGTCAGGGCTGTAGTAGATAATTGAGGGGGACTCAAATTCATTATAACATGCATGTGTGATTATGACCCCCCCCCAGTTATATAGATAGTACTATACAGCCATGACTGGAGAGGGACAAGATGGGCCTCAAAAGCTCTTTCCCCTAGTCTATAGGTAAACTTCGCTCACAAAACAACATTGTGCTTCACTTTGCAAATGAAAGT